GTTCCTTTGGAACTCCACTGTCTGACTCTTCCCTAAATCCCTGCTGCCTCTTCCCAGCCCTTTACTTCCATTGTCTTTGAAAAATGTTCCCGGGCTTTTAATTTAATGAGAAGGCTTCCGGTGGCTTTATTCAGCCATGCAAAATGCACCCTCCCTCACCCTGAGGGAGTGAAATTGGTTTGTTTGCTCAGCCTTGTGGTGATTTAGGGCCAGTTCTTGAGGCAATCCAAGCAGTAATGTTCCCATCTGAATTTGCATCCCATTGGGTTTTATATCTCGGTTGGATTTCATAAATTCTTCAAGAAACTCTCAGACACATTTTGGAGCCACTGTCACACCTCATCCGCCAGGGTTGCATCTTGCAGCATGCACCCAGGAAGGCACCACAGGGTCTCCTATTGCTTAGCCAGAGGAGATAGTCTGCCTGTTTCCATCACATTTCCCCTGTTGAGAGCACGTTGCACTTCCCTCAGATGAGAATCACATTCAGAAGCTTCCTCACGCTGGAACCTTGCCCCGGCAGGATGTCAGGATGTCAGGGAGGAGTCCAGTGTGGGTGGGGTAGGGTGGAATAGGGTCATTCTCCTTGCTAGGCAGTCCCAATGGGCAGAATTGTCAGGCTGCCAGGGCAGTGGGAGCTGAAAGGTTAATAAGTAAAAAATGTATCGAGTGAGAGAAGGAGACAGAACTCTCAGTAGTTCATCAGCATCAGATTCCAGTGAAGGGCTGTTGCCTGTGGTTTCTGAAGCTGCTGCCGAAAGGTCAGGCCTCTCATTGTGAGAAAAAGCCTGTTCTTCTCTTCTAGCTGTTCCATTAATGCTTGTTTTTTTCCTCTTGGTTTATTTTTAACCTTCCTGGCAGGAATGAACGAAAGAACGAGTGAACGAATGACAGAAAGCGAGCCCAAAGCCTCCCTTAATTGCCCGAGCGGCTTCTGCTAAGAGAGCTTCTGCAGGAGACACTGCTTCAGAGGCAGCTGAGAGCATTAGCACGGTGGATATTTACATGGTGACGAGGAGAGGGCTCTGGCAGGGTCGAGGATGGGAAGTGGGGACCTCTGCAGAGATAGCTTCAAGGCCGGGATGCTGGGGATCTGTCTGATGGTTTGCATTCTGCAGCTGGCTCATCGTGTTTCTTCCCCAGGTGCCCCTTTCACTTCTCAGACTAGACCAACAGCTTCTCGGCATTTCCGATAGGCAGAGGAAGGCTGGAGGAAAGA